TTGTGTAAAAATGTGTGTGTACATGCAGCATTACCCTTATAGAAATGACACTCTTTGGATTAGGTGGGTTCATCATATTTTTTTTGCATGGGATGGATGTTTGGGAGTACACGGTGAGGAATGAAGACTCTCCGTTGTTCAAAAAGTTGCTGGAATTACGTTGCCAGATTTCACAACATGAACAGTTGCTTTAATATTACAGCTGCCTATGAACAATTCAGGTTGAAAGGGTTGAAGACAGCATGGGTAGCAATTGTTTGGGATTCTCACGTCACCCTAAGTCCAAATTGCTTACTAAGGATAAACTTACATACTTGGAGATTGACCAAAATTGCTGTTTTTGTGGAATTGGGATTGAGACAAAACAACACATTTTCTTCACATGTCAATTTAGTGCTTCCGTTTGGGAAAATGTTCTTGTGTGGCTTGGCATTAGATGATCTATGTCTACATTATCGAGTGTATTGAAGTGACTAATAAGGAGGCTCGGGGGATATCTTGGCAAAGTAAGCTAAGAGAATTGCTCTTGCTAGCACCGTTTATCACTTATGGATGGCACGCAATAGGAAATTTTTTGAAAATCTTAGAGCGTAAGTTGATAGCGTTGTTTGACGGATTAAAACACACGCATACAAAGTTATGTTTTTTTTTTTTGTATCCGTATGATTTAATTCATTTTGAGTTTTTGATGTTAGGTCGTTAGATCGTAGTCATTTGAACATTTCTCATTTGACTGCCCGGGTATGCTCGGTATACTTATATTTGTAATTGATCTTTGTTTGTTTGGGTATGCCCAGTGTCCTGTACATGATTTTGATCTCTAGTATTCACATTTATTGATTAAAAAAAAAAATTGAATCAGTAGGGGAGTAGGAACGTCGCCCCACACCTACAACAGCCTTCTCTCTATATCTATCTGCACGAATAAATGATTGTCACAATCTAATTAAGCCTAATAGTGTGGTCACAATCACACCTCGGATTCTCTCTCTTTTCTTTACATAAATCGACCAGCGTTTCATTAACACAAATAGAGTAATAACTTAAACAAGTGAATATATACTAAAAGAGCATTTTTACCCTAAGACAAACAAATAAGACCTCCCCAAGACAGAATTGTATGCTGGAAATGGCTACAAGAGAATGAAAGATTTTCTTATTGAAAGGATTCAAAGAAGGTAGGTGGACCCATCCTATTTAAGTTCACACACACTCATGGATACAATACAATTTAATGGGACCCTCTTCGGGGTTAGACAATAGACTGTACTGAACACTGAAAAAGCAAAAGAAGCTAATGGCTTGTTACGTGGGAGGGATTCTACGAGATCGAGAAATACTAAAGAAACTTTGTACAATATACTATCAAATCCTAACTAGCATTACAACCTAAACATGCACTAAAATTTTGTTCATTATACTTTACAATTCTCTACAGTACTACTACGTATCATACATGATTCAAATGATCTATAAATGTTATTTAATAGCTCCACTTTTCCTTCCACTATAAATGGACAAAAAAGGGCTATGGGATTTGTTTCATACAATGGTGTTGGGATATTTTAGGTGCAAACATGTTTAGGGTTCCCCGGAAAGCGTTTACAGTGACAGCCAACTACCATCTTGCCCTTACATTTATTATTGGGTCTTTTGCTCATACGCAGT